AATACTGAAGCAATGTAAGTACAGCACCGCATTCCGTTATAGTAATCAGGCACTTTTCTTCGCGGCTCGGTAAATGTCACCACTTGCCACCTATACTTTAGCCTGCAACAGTTGTCACGCAACGTTGCGTGATGACAATGAAAACGGTTGTCTAGCACACCATTTGTTTCTGAATGGTAGGAAAAGTTTGTACTTTCCTTTCAAAAAAACTTTGACCTATTGTGCGAGCAAAACTCTCCAATTTCTAAATACATGTCGTTTGTTTTTATGCCGTCATTACGATTTACGACGCAGGGTTTATACAGGGTTCTTTAAACTAAAACGTCGCTTCTTCATTGGATGCGTCTGCACGTAGGCTAAGGCCCGGTTCAGACGCCGTACTTTTCATGAGCCGAACCTAATACATTGAATTAAGTACATGAAAAGTTCGGCGTCTGAATCAATTAGGAACGCCTGTTTCAATTTGGAACGGCTCAGCCGTTCTTTTCGCCTAGCCCGGCCGGGAATTTCGCCTTTGGATCGACTTTGGAACGCCTTTGATTCAGACGCCGAACTTTTCATGTACCGAACCAAATGCAGAAATTCTTATAATGTATTTTGTAAGCAGTTTGACCGAAATGCACATTTTTCGCCTTCTGAATTTAGTTCGGCTGGAATTAAGATCGGCGTCTGAATCACTTTAGCCGGTCTAAATAATTTGGGTCGGCCTTAATTCGAATTAGGTTCGGCTCATGAAAAGTTCGGCGTCGGAACCGGGCCTAAGAGATTAAAGAGGTAACAAGCATCGCGTTTCACGGCAATTTGTAGCACGTGAACAAGTTTCCCCTTTACTTGTCGTTTACTGCTCATAATAACTACACGAAAATCGGTAGATTCACGTCAATTCTAACCATAAGAATTGTTTTAAGCTGTTTTAATCAGCTCATTTCTCATTTCGAAAATTTCTCAACTTGAATCTCCGTTCTTCTCTAATATTTGATATTCACAGTCATCGAGTACATTAAGAAATCATACTGATAATTCACCGTGTCTGCTTATTGGAAAGAAAAGAAGCCAACAACGAGTAATGACAACATAAGCACCGCTAGCCACGAATACACGTAATAGCGCAGTCAACCTCGAAGTCAATCAACAACTCGGCACCGGAGTCAGAGCCTGAAAAATATCACTAAACGACAGCGTTCGTTACCTCCGCTAGCAGATTCCCTATTATTTGCAGTAGGAACAGCGCAGCCCTTTTAAACTACATTTTAAGACGTCATAACTCTTGCAACATCGCAGTTACAGACACGATAATTTTTCATTGCAAATTATTGGTATTGATTATCCCTGATTATTTTGTCTTGAACGGCGGCTTTGAGGTTGATTTTCAACACTGTACTTACCTAATGCAATTTTTCTTTAACAGAAGTTCATAGCAGGTCCAGAGAATAGCTTTGAGAAGGATAAAGAGCGGAAGAGACAAAACAATCGAACCTGAAACGATGTTGCGTTCCCGGGGGGGGACTCCCATATAAAACAGACGGGGATGCTCGTCGTCTCGCTTAGGGGTGTAAATTTTGGATTTTGGTCTCGCTTAGGGTGTTCCGGGCAAAGCGCTAATATTTTAAGCCGCCAAGGTCTCGTTTAGGGTTCTGCGAAGAACTTGAGATTTATGACAATGCTTTTAAAAACTACTTTTAGATAACAGCATTCGATGATTATGTCTTTACATCATTATAACTCATTGCATGTTGTATTTGTGTGTTTTTAAGCGGTCTCTTTTAGGGGTCAAAATTTGCTTAAGCCACGCCCAGATTGGTCTCCTTTAGGGGTCACAATAAGCTTGAGCCACGCCCAGATGGTCTCCTTTAGGGGTTAAATTCAAAATTTCCGACGAGCATCCCCGTCTGTTTCATATGGGAGTCCCCCCCCCCCGGGGTTGCGTTGAACAATGAAGGGTGTGAGTATTCAGCACCGAATGGCATGTAAACTCATCGGATATCGGTGGGGTCGACCCCTGCGGTCGATATCGGGCCGACACTCGACCGCTGTATCGGCCGATATGTCGACCGATATCCGGTCGGATCAATAGATTGTTCGAGAAATAGGCTGCTAAAGCCTGAAAAAGGTACACCTTTCGGGCGATGCCTCCCCGTAACCTGAGATCAGGCTCTTGGTATTAAAATAAAATTTTGTATGAAAGCATGTATAGGCCTTCAGAGGGAGTAGCGCCTCCCCCCGGGGGACCTTTGAAATATAACAGTGTGCCGTAACAAGGTACCTTGAAAACAACCCCGGATGTATGTCGCTGTGATGCATGACGATGAGTTGGATCTTGTGTAGGTCCTAATATGTCGACCGACACTAGGCTCTCTGATCGGGGATGACGCGTCAGAGTGGCACGCGAAAATATGCCCGAGCGCGTGATCTAAGAAAGGGAGCGGTGGCGGGAAAATGGATGCCGCCGCCCTTCCTCTGTCCGGTTTCCTCTCGTTTTATATTCTTGTTCGCGCTTTCTTAATTTCGCAAACCCTACTATATCGGAGCCTGGAACAGACTAAGGCTTCAGGTATTGAAAGGGTAGGGGTTTCACTAATTCAAGTATATGAAAGGGTAGGGAAATCTGTCACATCGGTCAGGAGTCCATGACTACTCTCTACTGATGGGCTTCTGTATCGGTCTTCAAAATGACCTAAAAGAGCTACACCCAGAAGGATTTTACGGCTGTGAAAAAGTCGATTGCGATTCATATTTGAAAGAAAGTGCATTTACTACAACAGTTAAAACGGAAGCAAAGTTTTAAACTAGGTATTTGCAAGGGACACCATTTGTCAATGAGGGGTATACAGATAGGAGAACTTTTTCTGTCAAAAATGGTTTATAAATGGGTAAGACGTTGGACCTCGGGGCTGAGCCTCCCCTGATAAAACTTTATTGAGTACTCCCGGGAGCTGTACTTGTAAGATATTGGGGACACCATTAACCCCATTTTATACGCTTTACTGTGAAATGCGCTGGCTACCAATCAGGCAACAACTTTATTTTCGTTTTGCTGTTCTGGTCTTTAAGTGCATGACGAGTTGTGCTCCGGAGTATTTGACATCAAAGCTCGTTGGAAGATCCGCCGTCTGGACAAGGAATACGAGAAATTCTCAACTTTTGAACATACCACTCTTCCGCACTGCCAGCGGCCAAAGGACCTTTCAATATAGAGCAACCTCTCTCTGGAATGAGTTGCAGCCTGCGCTCAAACTTAGCCCATCCGTGACGGAATTCAAGTGTTTACTCAGGCAAAAGCTTCTTAATGACTGCTTTATTTAATTAATTTAATTAATTTTATTGACCTTTGTCTTCTTTTATTATTGTTATATTCCTATTGTCATGTACTTGGTTTATAATTTTGTAATGTAAAATTGACTCTGAAAAGCCCCGTGGGGACGAGCCAATAAAGTATGTATGTATGTATGTATGTATGTATGTAAATGAAAAGCCGCATTAAATTTCGTCAAAAAGCGACGGCTGTATTTCCTCTTTTGTTAAGTTAAACGCACTGATCAGAAAGGCAAGGAGATTAGAATAACCACTATGCATTATTCGGTTCATTTAATTCCACTTCTTTACCAGCTTCTTCTTTTTTTATTTCCACGTTGTTTTCACTTTAAAAACTTGAAATAAGCAATATGATAAGAAAAACCTACTTAGACAAACATGTGACAAACACCCATTAGAGATGCTCGCCTTTCACTGATCTGTACGAAGATCAGTTCTGGAGACAAATCAATTTTGAACTTAAATATGATTACATTTATTTATTAATTAAGAAAGAGAGCAATGAATGAAATATACGAGACGTGTTTACAAGTGTTTACATAATTAATAATGATATAGAAACATTGTCTTTTATTGAAATGAGGGGTAAAATTGATAGTCATTCAAAACAGTGGCTATCACGTTCTTCAACCAAGCAACAAAGAAACCACTCCGAGTAAGGCTCACGATCGCGCATGAACAGACAAGACCTATTAAATGCGCACATAACTTTTAAAATCAGACAGTTAACGTTAACAGCTGCTCTAGTTGAGTAGGTTGCTTTTGGTGGAAGTCGTTGCGTCATCTGTGCCAGGCTCTCAGATAGTCGATCTGCCTTTTCTCTCTCCAGCCCCCGTGCGTTTTCGGCGCTGGTTTTCACGATCTCTGCACATTACTATCTTGGAGCCTTGAACAGGCTACATATGTCTAAGGAATGGCTGAATGTAGCCTTTCCAAAGATCGGCAAAATTGTTCACGTATTTACAGATGTGTTGAATCTCCAAAGTAAGCACGATGAACTTCCTCGATCTTCTTCACCCATTCATTGGCATGTCCCGTATGATCTTCCAAATAGTAAATCCGTTTCGGCTGAAAGTAAATATCGATGTATGTTACAAGGTGTATCTCTCTCTCATGGTCGAGAAGATTTCTCTCTAAACGTATGACGCTCATAAACGTATGAGCGTTTCACCGTTCATGGTTTGTCTTAAATTTAATCACAAATAAAAGTAGAAGACTTGGGTGTCTGAATTACCGTGTGAACAAAGAAAACTTCAAAGTTCTTGGCTTCAGGTCGGAGGTCTTTTGTCCTGAAAAAGAAAGAACTATTTTATAGCTTACCGTCAATAGTAAGACATGGATAAAGGAATAAATGGGCTTAATTTGCTTCATTTGCAATTGCTTAAATTATGATTACAACCGCGATTGTTAATCTTTATTTAGATTTGTAATTCCGCAGTTCACAACATCTTCATTGTGTGCTTCATTTCTTTCACAGGTTAGGATGAACTCAACAAATCAGACTGCTCGCAATGCATTAGTCTTCATAGCTCAGTAGGCAGAGTACTGCAGTACCAACGCAGAGGCGATGGGTTCGAATGTCGTTGAAGCCTGCTTGAAATACATAGTATAACATTTGACTAATAAACTTTACCAAGGAATCTCTCCCTTAAGAACCATTGCAGCAGCATCAACGTAATACAAACGCGGACCCTCTGTTAGAATCAGCTGTCTTGTACGAGGAAATAGGCCCTACAAAACAGGGAAGAAGGTTGCTCTTTGTCTCAAAGTTCTAACGTACGGCAAAGAGACAAAATAATTGTAAAAAACATTGATAGTGGTATTTTTAAAATGATGACCAAAATGATCTGGAAAAACTGATCAAGGATTACTTCTCAGCCTTTATGGTTTTTTTGTCGGGGCATAGAATAGGTTGTGTACAGTAAAAACCCGCAAGTAAGAACCTGAAAATTAAGAACCTGTTAGCCTAAAATTAGTCATTTATACCCCCTATAAACAAGAGCCTGTTTAGCCTAGAAAATGAAAGTCAAATTAGTGAAATGCAGCTGCAAAGCTGTGCAAGAATCCTGTTTGGAGAATTAGGAGCTTGGCATTGCTGTGCAAATAAAAGCACTAATTTATCGATGTAATTAAAAAAATAAAGTGCAAGAGGTTAATATTGTTGTATCGCATTTTGAAACTGAAAAATACGCAGATTACCATCTTGTTTTGTAGCTTGTTTTTTTTTTTTTGTTTTTTTTTTTACAGAAATAAGAACCTATTTAAGAACCTAAATAGCCTAAAATTGTGTTAACTACTGTTTAAATAAGAACCTGCTTATGCTAACTCCAGAAAATGTAGGTTCTTACTCGCGGGTTTTTACTGTATCTCCTGTTCCTCTCCTACTCGACCGGCCCTGGGAACGAGGTTGAGGAATATAAAATTACGGTTACTAAAAAGCCGATTAGAGCAAATCCAGGATTTTAAATTTCAGGCAACGATTTTACGAACAAAATACTACAGATTTTTTGGAGTATGGTTTGATGTTATCATAACCAGACCTCGAAGAAAAGGCTCAACGGATTTACAAAAAAATAGGGCTCAACCCTAGCAAAGTCCATGATGCAACCTAAACCCGCATACAACTGACTAACCTTTCTCTTGTCAACTAAGCCAGTCTTAAGGATGAGATTATTCTCAACGAACTGATGCCTGTAGAGAAACAAAACAACAAAAACAACCGTTGGGTTTTTATAATCTGGACTGCCGCAATCGTCAAGCTAAGGTTGATCTTTAAGTGACCAATATACTGTTCAACTGTTTTTAGAACGAGTATTATAGTTTTCCTAGTCACGTTTCTAGTATGTGGCTTTTTAGTCGGTTTTAGCTTTTTATATTTTATGTTTTTAATACCAAGGTTTTTATATGTATCTATTTACTGAGTTGTTTTTAAAATTGAATAATATCATATAGTTGTAATTATTATAGATTTTGTTTATACACGTTCGTATTTTGAACAAGTTTTTAAGCTCTTTGACGCAACGTGTTAAAATAAATGATTGATTGATTGATTAGACAGGGCTAAAAGCGAAGCTCTCGTTAATATACTTATCGTTTTATACTCAAACAAAATTAAAATCGTGTAGTGCTAAATAGCGACAACAACGAGAACGGCAAAAAAAATCAATACGGTCTAATCGCCAAAAAAACAAGAACTTAGCACGTGCAGCACAGTTTTTGTACATTTCTTTGCCGCTGTTTCGCACGACTGCAACGTGAAACTTCCCAGTTACATGTTTTATAGCGGTTTTCACCTGACTGTCGTAAAACCAAAAACAAATTAAATACACTAGCCAACCAAAGGGCGTAGTAAAACCAAAACCAAAACCAAAACCAATCCCTTACGACAGTCAAGTGAAAACCGCTCTATATGGGATCGGAAATAGAGAGCGTCATAGGGTAAAAACCAGAAGGAAAGTCAAAAGCTTGATAATAGCACATTCACAGTTATAGGTGGAAACGATGCTGGAGTTGATCTTGTTTTGATCTTTGCTATACTTTGTAAATCGTGTTCTTCTTGTGCTAACTAGTATTTTTAAGTATAATTTTCATAAGAAAAGGAAGGAGGCTTGTATCAAAACAAGGTCAACCTCAGCCTCGCGTTCCCTCAAAGGCTAGGACACTAAGCGCACAAGTGTAAAACGATCTATTGCAATAAAAGCAGACAAACACATGAGCCAATCACATCTGAACAAAACACAAATAGCGAGTACCAAGCCACGTGCGGCTTTGAACTTACTTCTGATTGGTTGGGAAAATAGCGCGAGTGGTGGAGTGGAGCAATACAAGAGTAAAACAAACGCGAATTCGTTTCGACACTTGACCATGTTGGCAGTTGTTGTTTACCCGTGATTACAAAACGTTTTCGGAAAATCCTGTTGGAAAAAATCTGTAACACGACGTTTGAGATCGTCTCAGTGGAAAATTTCCAGCAGCAACGGAACGCGTGAAAAGGTAGTCCTGATTTCACGATCGGGATCCAAAAGGAAATTCATGTTCTTCAAAGCCACCTTTGGTTTTTTTGGTAAATGGGATTGATTTGTGCAAATGGTAAACACGATTCCGGGACGAAATTTATCAGTCTTGAATTTCTCTTACCATTAACTCAAACCGTGTACCGACCGGTTTGCCCGTGTAAATGGTAAACAACCAGTGAAACGCTCTAAATAGAGCGAATTTCGAATGACCTTGAAATGAAAACGCGCGAACAAAACCGAAACTACAAATGGACGGAGATAGAGCGATTTGATTGGTTTATAGAACGGATACAAACGCGCGTCGTTTCAAGGTCATACGAAAATACCTCTAACAGGCTTACCATGGTGATTCTTTTTCCTGTTTTGCTAGTCTCTCCTCTCTCTCGGTATCTGTCAGATCAAGGACATTCCTCCTTGAATCCAGTATTGAGTCATCGTCAGATAAGCCGACTCTTTTCAAGAGCTGTTCGTCAAACTCATCATCACTTTCGCTGTTAAGACTAACCTGTAAAGGGACAGAGTTCCATATGGTTCTGAAAAAGAGTTTCCTTTAATGATCTTTAAAGAAAAACGACTTTAAATTTTAAAAATACTAAAAGTTTTTCATTTTTATTTGAAAGGTCAAACACTTATTTGGTTTCGTTCACGGACTCAAAAATTAGTTTCGTTGTTTCTTGTTTTAGAAAAGCTTCCTTTATTGATGCCATTTGCGTGTATCTTAGCGTTTTTTGTACCTGCTTCAATTTACACACAAAAAAACTGATCTAAAAATGCATTTTTATCAAGATGGTGTCGACCTAACCGAAGTAAAAAAACAAAGACAAGAGCAAAATGGGTAAAAAGAAAATCTTCTTCACATGTGAATGTATGCTGAACTATTAATCAATTCAACATCAGAACTGAACAGCTTACCTACGGGATGGTTTGTAATTTAGTTGATGTTGGATCTTTTCGTCTTACAAAATGAACAATTTTAGACTGGAGAACAATTCAAAAAGGAGGACAAACGGCCGGCAACTGAAAATTCGGGAAACCGCGTGCGCTCAAATCAACACTGGTTTCGGTGTAATTTCTGATTGGGGCGAGAAATAAACAGGAAATAGCCTTACAAATCACCGGTTAGCCCTTGTTTCCTTATCTCAAACCGCCCTTTCCCTCTCACTTACACTGACAAGAAATTTCTAAGTTTCTTCGAAATTTTTGCTGGACAAATGTTCACGACAGTAAGTCTCTTCAATTTTTAAGGAAAAAAATTCCGAATGGCGTGGGTGAGAATCGATCCCGTTTACCAATACTCCATGCGGATTTGTAGCTATAACAATAATCATAACAGTAAATAGAAGCTAACCGTTTCGCGTCAGGGCTTAACCGTAATCAGTAAGGTCAGCGCTTAACCGTAATCACAATTTTCAGTGCTTAACCCTAAACAATATGGTCAGTGCTCATTCCAATAAAACACATAACCTTTTGTAGGCATCATAAGGTATCCAAGGGCGGTTTGAGATATGGAAACAAGTGTTCTTTTCTCCTTACCCTGTATTTGCTGCGTAATCCTTCCCGATCATTGCTCGTTGACGGGAGATAAGGAAGTAAATCAGGTGGTTTGGTGTTCGGTAGGTTTTCCCAATCAGTTCCTGAATAAGAAATAAGTATAAGTAACAGAATACCATCATTACTGCATGGGGGGAGCCGTGCATCTACGATCGTTCCGATTCGCTTTAGCTGTGGGTTGGGGACGGATTGGGGTGCAACTGAAGAAGACAAAAGGCACTTACTAGACGAGACGGAGAGCAGGAAGATAGCGCGTGTCTGTCAAGATGGACAAATGCACCAGCGGTAATGTGCAGCATCCCAAGTTAGTACGTTTCGGACATTCGGTTGTGGAGTTGTACCTATTAGCTCCACTGCCCGGCTACAGATTCCTGTTCAGTGTTGAGAACAGACTAAGCAGTCTTACTTTTCAACAGTACCTTCATAAAATTCGTGACTCTTCAGCGATGAAAATCCTCCACATTCATCACAACCGAGCCTTTTTGTAGGATCCAGCACCTAAAAGTAGTATTTTCGATTATTCTCCAAATAAAAGAAATAGCACAAATCAATGAGATATATACAAGTGCTTTGAGTACAGCTTTTCTTCTTGGCAATCAGCGACGCCGTATTAAGTGAAAGGAAAGCATTCTGTCGCGTTCACATTCAAATTCAGGCTGTTATGTTCACACTATAACGTGTAGCTTCTGCGCAGGCACGAATATCAGACCGGATAAGGCTTTTGCTACACATAAGAACGCTGATTTGGCTGCTATTTCTGTAACGGAGCAAAGCTGCGTCGTGCTAATCTCGGAAGTGGATCGTAACACATCGGATAGGTTCTGCTTCCGGGAGGCCGGGGGGAAGTTCTGCGCTACACCTTGGTGCAGTGTAGACGGGTATTCGGACCATAGCGGAAGGAAATAAGAAGGAAAGAGGACTGGAACCCACTGAGACGGAAGTAAATATATTCAAAAGTAAGGACTGGGATTTATAGAACCAGACCTTCTCGGCCAACCGCTCAGGTACGATGTTTGATGTGCGAAAACCTAACGACATGTTCCAATACTGCCGTGCCGTTGCTGTTCATACGTACTATACTGGATAGATTTTTGTGTCGGCACGAAAAGCTCAGTAGCCGGTATAGCGTGAACATAGCCTCTAACATGTCAACAACGCACGAAGGTCGTCACGCTGGGGGATTAACCGATTACTACAACCGTGGGTGTATAAGTCAATTAATTTATTTCCACAGGGAGACTGAGAATGTCAACTTCTCGGCTAAGTACTGGTGTTACAGTGATATGGGCTTACCCATTCCCGAAACCCTAGTGATATGGGTATCCCTTTATTACCTTAGCAATTCAGTTGGTTAGACTTTGGGTTAGGGTTAAAGGGGATGCCCATATCACTAGGGTTTTTGGAATGGGGATGCCCAAAGGCGGGGATGCCCATATTACTGAAACACCGGGGACCGGAGGAATCCGGAGAACATACTTACCAATAAACTCTCAACAAGACCCTTTGGAATATCAGGAAAACCGCTTGGAAATTCATAATCTAGAGCAATAATCTTCTTAAATATTTGATATTCGTTACTGTTGAGAAAAAGGAATCAAAGTCATAAAAATGTTTCAACTGTTCCTGTTTTGCACTCATGAAGCTAAAGTGAAAGTAAAAACAGTGGTCAGCCATGCATGTTGCTCATCATATCCACCCAAAAACGCAAAAGTTCTATGTGAATTTTTAACAGCAGAAAAAACGTTAGGAGAGAATAAAATAAATTGTTAAAGTTTGAGAAAAATAAGGGGAATCTCAAACTCTACAAGGATCTAATTGTCCGAGGCTTTATTAAAATCCGCCCCCCTCCCCCCACACACCTTGAAATCATCGCGCTTACTGTACATTGACATTTTTCCGTTTTGTTGCATTTGTTTGCTTGCTATTTTGTTGTCATCTGTAAAATTGAAACTGAGGAATTCGGAGAAGGGCGGTACACAAAGTATAGATTTTTGTAAACCATTTATTTACCTGGCTCTAAATGGTGGCAGGCCAGAAAGAAGTTGATAAATAATACAACCTAAAGCCCACAGGTCTGAGCTGCAAGAAAAAATTAAGAAAGGGACTTCAATTACACTGTGCATGCTTCTGTATATCACACATTCTAAGACAATGGGACTATGTTCAGGTAAAATATGTAACAACGTTTATACCACACTATGCAGATTATACTGTACTATATGTCGACGACGATAGAAAGAGAAAATGAGCTAAAAAATTTCTCCAGCTGCAGAACGGTGGTAAAGCAATACATATTCAAACACTGGTTTTATTTTTTCGTGATAATGGATGATTTGTATGGGCAAGCTCAATGAATATTTTTGCACCTCTTTTTTGCCATTCAATAAATGACAATACATCAGCACTCAATGACATTATTCATAATAGACTCAAACGCAGTGAAAGTTGTGAAAGTGGAAACTGCTTTGGCTGTATAAGTATAAAGTACAGCCTGCGTAGCTGGCGGTTTGTCTGGCGAGCGTGCAAGTTCGTAGTCTCCCTCGCAGCCGTTTTTTGGATGTCACGCAACGCTGCGTGCAAGTTCGCGCCTTTCGTCAATCGCTTGCACTACCCTCCCTAATAGACCTTTTTACCGATACGGCGGCCATATTGAATTCATTAGAGTTAAGGAGTATTATGGGATGCCCAGGGGGCACTTACTCAGTTTTTACGCGCGCTTTTCGGGCAAAAAGAGAACTTAACTGTTTATTTCTCGGTGCGATCATTATTACATCCAAACACGGCACAACGATCTTTTTTTCTAGGAAAACTTAAAGAAAAATTGGCCCGAAAAGCGCGCGTAAATACTGAGCGAGTATGTCGGATTGTGTTCTTGCCCCCTGTGCATCCCATAACGCTCCTTAAATCTAATAAATTCAATATGGCCGCCGTATCGGTAAAAAGACCTTTTGCCCCTCCTCAACAAAACACTAGCTATTAGCAAGCTAAGTGAGTTCAATACCTCTTAACTGCTCTCTTGTCTGTTAAAAGCTCTGGTGAAACATACTGAGCTGTACCTACAAATGAATTTCTGGCTGCAAGAGTACAAGTTACAAACAATTTGGTATTATTACTTGCTGATGAGATCAAATGGCCAGAATAATGAGATAAAAAACCCTGCAGTCTTACAATAGAATTCAACGCTAGCCTTGGAGTTGGGAGGTGGGGGGGGGATACTCAGGTAAAATAACGACAACAAGGTGTGTTGACTTTTGGGGAGGGGATATAGTTTGAGATCTGTGGACGCCGGGCAGTCAGCAATTTTGTCGTGATTTATGGGTGGGCAATTTGATTTTATTGCAGAGGCAAAAACTGCTTTTCTTTTTGGGTCTGGGTTTTGACCAGTGCTGGTTTTTTTTTTGGGGGGGGGGTTGGGGGGGCGGGGGGGTTATTATTATACCCAAATACAGTCAAATTAAAGCTCTCAGAATCAACCACCTTGGGAATCTATGAGGGCAGTCGCAACTAGGGCTGCAGGTCATTTACGAGAATGGGCTCTGATATGATAAGCAATCATGTGATAAACTTATGGGTATTGAGTGCAGTTGCTCATGAAAGCTTTTCATTACAGAGTTTAAGGCACAGCTCAAATAGGGTTTTGCAATGCTGGTAATAATTAGAACTGGTTATTTATGAGAGTGGTTGTAAGGTGAGCACCAACTGCACACTGAACGTAGCATCCTGGACTAAGTCCTCTGAACTTACTTTTCACGTTCACATCAGCACTACTTAAGATCTTTGCTGTCCCAAAGTCTGTTATCTTGATATGCATGTCTGCATCTAGGAGTATATTTTCAGGTTTCAAGTCCCTATGAAAAGGTTAATAAATACCTGTTAGTCATCTGACTCACTGTGCTGACCAAATCAAAATTTCCAGTACCATCATTAGAACACAGTGACTCAAACTCCAAGGAAAACCAAAAATAGTGAGTCACAGGATTCAAATTAGCTAAAAATTGAGATGATCAAGGGAATGAGAGGGTCAGTGGAGATTTTCAGCTGACTGAGAACGTTTCCACTGCAAGTTCTGGCATACTTTGACTTTTAAATGCAAGTAGTTAAAAAATTTTAGTTTTTTCTATGAATCAACAAATTTCATAGCTTACAAGTTGTTGAGGGACAAATGAAATAAACCGTACTGATTATTTTCTGCATTAAAAACCTATACTTGTCAGACAGCCTTTACCTTTCTATATACATTGTATAAATTTTACCTGTGAATTATTCCTAGCCCATGAAGATGTTCTAAAGCTGACACTACTTCTGCTGAATAGAATCTTGTGCAGTTGAGATCAAAGGAGCCAAGCTAGAGAACAAGATGCAAAATGAATAAGATGATGATAGATGTATGTGACAAGTCTGACTCTTTTAATACACTAACTGAATAGATATAAAATTACATGTATATGAAATCAAAGAAACAGATTGTTTCAACAGTAAATTTTATTTTCATAAAAGAGACATCCCTCAAAGGATCTCACACCTTGCTAAAAAGGATTTCTCTTTGAACAACAGAACGTAAAGTTTTAAAGAAGTTCAAATCTTACAGTCAGTGGATGAAAATTAATATGGTGCAACTGATTAACAGTGCTGTCACTATAAGGGGCAGGGGCATAGGGTTTTCCCCCAGCAACTAATAAGCATGATCCCTGCATACTTTTGTAGTAAAACAAAACAATTAGGAACATAGACCCACAAGAATTATACCCAGCAAGGATAAATCTAAGTGACAGTCCTGATTTAAAGTTAAGTCACAACAAAATACACACTAGCATGAAAGCTAGGCCTAAGGGCCAAATTGAAATTGTAAAAAAAAGGAAGAAGTGCATCCTACAACTGTTGCTGCTGCACTTTCTAATAATCATTTCGATAATAGGAAAGACTTGACATTTCATGTATTTCTGAAGGATCCTTTCCTGTCCACTTTCCAACACACGTTCATTCAACACTATACTGCTTCAGGAATATCTTTTGGGGTTAATTCTTGATCTCTAAATCAGAAATTGTTCTTGTTTTTGCTGGCCTATTTACTTTTTTTGAAGTTTGCGGGAAATCTGGTGGCCCGTAGGACTCACTTCCATGCTTAGGTCAAACTGTATGGACATTGAGGTCGATTAATGTCCATACATTGTGTAATAAATTTACAGGATGTACCTAGTTTTCAGTCGTATTAAAATAATCATAGCAGCTAGTTAACTTGGTGGAACCTTTTATACCATTAATAAGACCAGGGCTTCTGATATTTCGCGCGGCCGCGGACCCGCGAAATTCAGGTATTTCCGCGAAATCCCTCGAAATTCCCAAAAAAACGCGAAATACCGCGAAATCCGCCAGAAATATTTCCAAATACATGTCGGCAAAACATATTTAATACTTATCTTGGCTATTAGACCTGTTTTATTCACCCCAAACGTCCAAATTTATCTTGAAACTTCGTCACTGCAACGAGTAAACAATGTCCCAAAACTACCAGGCGTTTTGCAGGCGTTTTTAGACGAACGTTGCGAAAAACTGGGCACTAACCAAAATGTTAATAGCTTTAGCATTCGCTCATTTCTCGAGCGAACTGTTGTTAAAAGAGCAAATGACTATCCCTGTTTAAAAAAAAACGTTAAACAACGCTGGTCATGATGAAGCAAAATTGATCGATTTTAGCGAAATTTTCCCCCAAAAATCAAGCGAAATCGGCTGTTTTTTACTGATTGTTTCTTGGCGAAGTTTCCCCCCGAAATTTCCCGTGACATCGGCCGATTTTTCTAACAATTTGCCCCTGAAAATCCCGCAAAATCGGCCGATTTTTCTGCGAATTTTGACTTTTCTCCCGCGAAAATCCCGCAAAATCGGCCGATTTCTCCGCGAATTTTGACTTTTTTTCCCGCGAAATTAGCCGATTTTCCGCGAATTTCCCCTTGAAAATCCCGCGAAATTTTGCTTTTTTTTCCGCGAAATATCAGAAGCCAAGATCTAAATACCTTAATTATGTAAGGCAGCAGTTCTCCTTTTTTGGCATAGCTTAAGCCAAAATCTGTTTAAAGCAAAGCTAAGGAATGGAATGGTAAACTATTAAAATATAATGTCAACTTTTATCAAAGTATGAATGTCAAGAATACAATGTAGTTAATCACGTTAAAAGTTCAGGGCTATAGAAATGTTGATGGGAGAAAGTTTGTGGTATACAGATTATTGATAAAATCAATTTACAAACTGGAATGTCAGCTAAGACAGACAAACAGATAACAACAACTAAAGAAGTTTACAGTCAAACTGGGAAAACCATGAACAACAGAAATATTTCTGGAATGTTATTGGGTTGCAAGAAATAAGCCAATCAGGCATGAGAAAACTACATTGTAAACCACAAGCAAGAACGTTAATTAGTTTGTGGTTTTGTGGCAAGTTCACACGTTCTTAACTTTGCTGTGATTGGTCATAACACAATAAACATTCCTGAAATATTTCAAGTGTTCAAGGTTTTCCTGGTTGCACTGTAAGTGAATGTTTACAACAACTAGAACACTATCCAATGGGAAGCAGACAAGACAGACCAGCTGGCTGTTAAATAGCATGATCAGGGTTGATCCTGGCTTTCCACCATAAATATTTGAGGTGGTAATCACAGCAAGACATACATGTTTCAAATAATTCTGAATCCCTGACCACTTAGCTGAGTTATTATTTATTTTATTGCTATTACAGAAAATCTCACACTATGCTCTTGGTATAAAAGGATACATAACTTTTCTTTATCCTGGAAAGTAAAGTACAGTCTAACAAAGAAAGGATGGTTCAATTTGCTTAACACTTCTTTCTCTCTTGACACATATTGGACCTTCTTCTCTCGTATCATATGCCTCTTTTCTAAAACTTTCACTGTGAATGAAGAAAGGAATCAAATGTGTGAACATTTACATTAACTGTAACAGTCTGTGCAAGATTATTAGTTCAGTTGACTCTAAAGATGACATCAAGGTTTTCATAAAGGTATTTTGAAATAAAACTGAACCAAAGTTTATTAAATTTTATGACCTCTTTGTGTCTTCAATCTTATAAACTAAAAGACAATTTGGTTACAAAGTGAACATTTGCCAGTGAGTTCATGATGCAAAATTCTCCTTCTTATCCTCAAAGAAATGCAGTTTATTGGATCACAGATGAATGTTCAAACACTACAAAAAAACGTTTAATGAAAACTGATTTAAAATCAGAGGACAATAAAAAAGGCAATGTGAATGAGGGGGAAATGGACTGATAAATACAGCACAGAGAAATTTAGCAAAAACAAGAACACCGAGTTTAAAACATTCAAAATGTCCATGACCCAAAACAGACGCTAAATCTGTATTGCCTTGACTGATAGAATATAAAAATAATTTAGCAATTTTAATTTTTGTGCAACTTAAGTTTAGCAAGTTTTGGAAATTGATTTGAGAAATTCTTGCAACAAGAAGAATAAGACAGTGACAATGAAATAAACAGCATGTCACGAGTGTGGGACAAAGAAAAACTCCGAGTTCCAGACAGGATTCAAACCTATGACCTCCCAAACACAGGGTGGGCACTCTAAAAAGATTAAGGTAGAAATGCAAGGTCCTGATGATGTCCAAGAAATTCTTGCAAGACACCCCTTTGGGTTTCCTGTGCAGTGTATATGTTACAGGTCAAAATTACATGGAAGTTCAGGTTAAAAATTTTTAACCTACCAGTAGGTTGATTCTCCATTTCCTTTGTCTCCTAGCCCTAATTCATGAATAATTAGGGTTAAAAGACAAAGGAAATTGAGAATCAGGTTAAAGATTTTTAACCTGGGGAATGAGAAAAAAAAATATCTGCAACTATATGTTACAGGCTGAAATTATATTACAGGGTGTCCCAAAAGTTTGTTCCTATACTTTATAAGTCTTTATTTCAGTACGATTGGACTTGGTAAGCAAATCATTTGAACAAAAGTTGTGTCTTTCAATCTAATTTGCTATTTTCATAGTTGTTGTGCCACCTTTTGACTCAAATATTCAATTTGTGTACTTCCGCACTAAAGGTGCAGGTGCATGAGTATATTTTCCAGCCACATATTTTTTGAATTTAATAGCCCAAATTGCTCAAACTCCTTCCTTGGTTTTTTGTGAATAATTATCACAAAAGATAAACGCCCTTAACACAAAATTGTTCAGGCAGCTGCGTGAGTGCATTAGCATGTATACTTCAATTTACTGGCTCATTCTGTTTTAGAAACTGCTAGAAAACTGGAAAAATCTGATTGTTGGGTGGTAAAATGATCATGGAAAAATAAAGGTTTTGAAGGCAAGAAATGAATGGCAAGACCAAAAGTCTTGAATAAAGCAGCTAAAATAGTTTTAAAGAAGGCTAGATACAAACTAGGAGAAACGACAAGGAAGCTCTCACATAGTTAGCAAGCCGAGTCCAGAAAGGGTCATGAAAAGAGGCCCCTCAGCATGAGATGGTAAAAAATACCTCTGCTCAAAAATGGCTTGCCTCAAATTTGTAAAGAAGTACAAAAGCCTTGCTGTGGAAGGGGGCCGGGATGATTATCTTTTTTGGATGAACTAAACTAAACTAAACAATATTGTTTGGGGGTTAAATGAACTGACTCCTGCGTACCAGGCGATAAAAAGCTAAAAATGGATGGTCAGTCGGTTTACACACAGTATCCCACTCCATGCCACAATGGCTACAGAATGTGATAGATAAAAAAACAAAAAGGGCATGCAAGTTACTGAAATTATGAATACATGTACTCAACAGAGAAAATTAATAAACATTTCTAGAAATTTCATGGTTGATTTAAAGTTATAGTGCATGAAATTACAGTGTAGAGGAACCAACTTTTGGGACACCCTGTATATAATAACAATATTTTAACTGTGTAACAGATATTATGTTGGAGTTAATTTTTTATTTCCGTTTTGTTTTTTTCTTTATTTCAAATTCATTAGCATACATATCCATACCCAAAAACAATGGGAAACAAAAATTAACTCAAATAATAAAAATAACTGCAACATATGCATTGTACATAAACAGCAGTACATTTACAATGATTTTTTTCCTTTTAATGAAGGTGAAGACTGGGGTCATTACTTTGTCTTTGTACTTATTAGTAAAAAATTAATTTCAAGTCAAATCAGCTCAACTTACTTGCATATTCTCTTCCTGTGCTTATTTCACGAACCACATAAACCTAAGATGAGAAATCAGAGGAAAGCTGTTGTCATAAAACTATATTATTTAGAACAGTGGTGGACCTGTTACAGTTCATATTTGATTTCAGGTGAATTTTGATTTAACCTGTGTTGATTCCTGATTCCCTTTGTCTCCTTGCCCCAGAAGACAAAGGACATTGAGAATCAACCTAGGTTAAAAAAAAATAACTTAAAATCAAAGTCAACCTGTGACAGGCCGACAGAGCGGGTCAGGAGATCGCCTTTATTGCACCCATCTGCACAATGCAGGTACTTGTATTTACTATTGTATCTCCAAGTATTACAGCTGCATCCTTTACAAGTAGAATGCATGCACCATGACTCTGAGGGACTACATTCATGTATAATAATTATACAGTAGCTGATTCAACAATTAAGGTTGCTTTATTGGGCATTGGGCATTTAGGTATACGGAACTCACTGCAGTAATTTCGTTCAGTGACCACCGAACAATAGCTGCCCCGTGTGCAATTCCCAAAATGCAAAACCTTTTATATTGAATCAGCTATATACACCTGGCCTCAGTTGTTCAAAAGGTGTATAACGCTATGCATTGGATAAATCACTGTCCACTGGATGGTGCAATTGGTTTCCCTAATACTCTTTTTAATTCATAACAGGCAATTTAAGCTCTTAAATGCATAAGGGAAAGATTAAACCACAGTTTTAAAATTTTAGAATTTACAACGATTTGTATGGAAAACCATGCAAGCGTGACTGGATGGCAACAGTTGTTTTTCTCACACAAATGCTACTAACTTTTGGCGGCCGTTGCAATCGCTACTTTTGAGATATACGGCTGAAAATTCTCAGGTTACCTAATTTTAATATGCACTTTCAACTCGTGCTAACAAAATTTTTCAAAAGTAAACTGTTTTCATGTTTTACTGAAAGTTGATCACGTGATCAAGTCATGCAAAGAGCCTATTTTCCCTGTTTCTCCCACTTCTGACCTTTTTAGAACTCTCACCTCTAGCCCTTTCCTCTCTCGCTTCCCATTCCTCTCCTAGGCTCCCGACCCTGTCATACCCAACCATGAAGCTTGATTGGAATTTTGGGAGGGATTAGATGACGGGTCTTAAGGTCTAATTCCATAGAGGGGATATACAAGTATCCATGCACAGAAATTTTCCAAAATAATTATTACAAATTAAAGTCTGAAATCTTTACAATACTTTACAAGCAAAGTTAAGAACAGATTAACAAACAACTAAAAAATCAGTATTACACTTCATCCAGTACCTTACTCCAGCTAGTAAAAAAGGAACAAAATATGTAAGAGTATTAGAAAGAACCGCAAAAACAACTTACAGTAGAAAATGAGCCTTCTCCTAGAATTTTTCCAAACTTGAAATCTTCTGGTTTTTTCTTTTTAATAGGTTGAGAGGATGATGGTGATGTAGGGAGAGAGGAAGAGCTTGAACTGGCCTGTTATAAAATATGTAATGAATCAGTCAGGTTAAAATGGTTTCAACTCAATTTTTCTTAAAATTTCCTTTGTCTCTTAGCCTTAATTACTCATGATCCTGAATAATTAGAGTAAAAGAAAATTAATAAGACAAAGATTAAATGAAAAATAATAATTCCAATAACACTCCCCAAGAGAGCTTTCAAAAAACAAATCAATAACATGTTGCTTTCAATATAAGAGGCTGAGGACGATTACGTCAAAGCGCCCATTCTGCTTCAGAAAATACCAAACTACACAGTATGAATAGTTTGATTCAGTTTTGCAGTTATATTATATACCAGTAACTGTTACAAGTGGTTGATTTTGTAAATGTTATTTGTTCATGTTTATGTTTTATTCATTCATGTATTTTTAATTAAACCATTCTATTCTCTCTAATATTCATGAAAAAACCTCCTTATGAGCAGATATAAAGGTACATTAGATAGGAGCTAGCACTAAACAATGGATTGTTTACAAGTAGCTTGAGAAAACAGCTAACATCTTGTAATGCTATCAATAGTTTCCCAGCGAAATGATGTCTGAGGAATACTGGCAGAAATTCTATAGCATCAAAATGATCTGGGTAGTGCTTCTGATTGCCTAAAATTTGCTTTGAACAATCAGATGCACTACCCAGATCTAGGTTAAGTGACAGCACAGTTAAACCTCAATTATCCGGACTCTTTGGGACTTGAGTAAATGGTTCGGATAATCGAGAGTCCGGATAATTGAAAATATGAATTCATATAATGAGACAATGTAAACATAGGGAATGAAGAAAACAAACGTTTGTTGTGAATTAGTTCCTACTTGAATTTTTGTATGGACTGTAAGTATTTATGTATTTTTATTAACTCCTTCGCTCATCTCGAGGCTGTCAATGAATTTCAGGATCTCATCTTTGTTTTTGCTTATATCTGAGATCTGCTGCTTGCTGATTTCAAACTTGGGTGCTAAATTTGTTCCTTTCCCCAAACGTGACATAATCGTTTGCTAATCCTTTAACAAGAGAATGGACTGCTTTTGTTGCGTAGACATGGCTGAGATTTGAGTTTACAATAGATTGATTGGTCTTGTGTTTACATAACCAACGTGGAAGGATTATTGAACTTTTAATCATTTCAATTTTTCAAGATCATATCTTATTAATAGAGAGATCAAGACTCATGTTAACACCAAACAGCAAACCTGAACTTGTACCACGTGACAAAGTTTTTCCCTTAATTTCCGTTAACTGTTTATTCATGAGAAGACACACAGGGCTTGCACTGTAAGTGTCCCGGAGAGCTCCATACAAATCCTTATAATTTTGTTATAAGGAATTGTATGGAGCTTTCGAGGAGACTTTTCTTAATTAGCTTAGGCGCGGCGGATTTTGTCGCGTATGATCAGCGCGAGGTGTTTTTCCCGACACCCTTCTGTCAGGAAAATGTCATCATATGAAAGCAAAACAGACACGATGGCGTTGGCAGGCCGAAGCCGGCAAAAATAAAAGGCTTTTCTTCTTCCATTTCAGAGGTCAGTTTTGTTTCAATCTGGTCAAAAATCAGGTTTTTAGGTTGTAGGTAATAAAATTTTGTCTTATTCTGTTCTCAAGGACCTTTAGAAAACGAGACAAAAGATATAATTGACTAGAGTAAGAAGCGTGAAAACGCTTTTTTGGAAGAAAATATTTTTTAATTCCCGCAGCGATTTTGCGAAATCGCGAAGCGCAATATATTCAATTTCTTCCAAAGCCTTCATGATTAAGCAGTGTAATGCCATCACAACTAAAAATGAATTTAGTTTGTATCGCAAAAGCCGCGAAAATAGAGCTGAAAAAAAATGGATCGGAAAAATTAATAAAATCACCCAGAAACCGTCTCGCGGGAGCTTTGTTAAACAAACCGTTGGTACGGTTTATTTAACCTAACCTGGAAAAGGAGACGTCTGCACGCAGAATACATTTCATACTACATGTAGTTGTGATTTCCGGAACGGACCTCGGGAGCTTCATTGCCGTAATATCTTCTACATTACAGAAACCACAGCAGAATCGCCCTGCTCGCGTGCTAACTTTCCGCTCCAATTATGACTATACAGTACCAGTGAATTGTTTCAAAATTTAAAGCGGCCGAAACTTATTTCCATCAGCGCGTAGTTAGTTAGTTAAGCAATAATAATGCACAGCACTGTAAATAACACGGTTCTAGAATATCTGACGGCTTCGCGTTTTGTTCATCGCTGCATGCGATTTAATCGCTTATAACCTAACAGAAAATGTAAATGTACCTGAAGGAAATACCGTGTATTACCTTACCTTAACGCTGTGATGTGTGTAAATTTGTCTTTTGCTATGGTTTTAGACAATACGACTTCTCCTGACTATCAATTGTGCGTCAAAACAAGCGTGATAATGAAATAGTCTAAGTGCCATGGTGTAGCACTTAATGACAAAGTTTTAACTGGAAAACTGTTACTATCTGATGTACACCTGTATAGTCTATGTTTGTAAGCTCTGCCTAAAGAATCACTGGGTTACACTGCACCCATGGGTGTGCCACCTAAAGTGCAGCCTATGTTTGTTAGCTCTACCTAAAGAATCACTTGGTTACACTGCACCCATGGGTGTGCCACCTAAAGTGCAGCCTATGTTTGTTAGCTCTACCTAAAGAATCACTGGGTTACACTGCACCCATGGGTGTGCCACCTAACAAAGTGCAGCCTATGTTTGTTAGCTCTACCTAAAGAATCACTGGGTTACACTGCACCCATGGGTGTGCCACCTAAAATGCAGCCTATGTTTGTTAGCTCTGCCTAAAGAATCACTGGGTTACACTGCACCCATGGGTGTGCCACCTAAAATGAAGCCTATGTTTGTTAGCTCTGCCTAAAGAATCACTGGGTTACACTGCACCCATGGGTGTGCCACCTAAAATGCAGCCTATGTTTGTTCGCTCTGCCTAAAGAATCACTGGGTTACACTGCACCCATGGGTGTGCCACCTAAAATGAAGCCTATGTTTGTTAGCTCTGCCTAAAGAATCACTGGGTTACACTGCACCCATGGGTGTGCCACCTAAAATGAAGCCTATGTTTGTTAGCTCTGCCTAAAGAATCACTGGGTTACACTGCACCCATGGGTGTGCCACCTAAAGTGCAGCCTATGTTTGTTAGCTCTATCTAAAGAATCACTTGGTCACACTGCACCCATGGGTGTGCCACCTAAAATGCAGCCTATGTTTGTTAGCTCTGCCTAAAGAATCACTGGGTTACACTGCACCCATGGGTGTGCCACCTAAAGTGCAGCCTATGTTTGTTAGCTCTATCTAAAGAATCACTTGGTTACACTGCACCCATGGGTGTGCCACCTAAGGTGCAGCCTATGTTTGTTAGCTCTACCTAAAGAATCACTGGGTTACACTGCACCCATGGGTGTGCCACCTAAAGTGCAGCCTATGTTTGTTGGCTCTACCTAAATAATCACTGGGTTACACTGCACCCATGGGTGTGCCACCTAAAGTGCAGCCTATGTTTGTTGGCTCTACCTAAAGAATCACTGGGTTACACTGCACCCATGGGTGTGCCACCTAAAGTGCAGCCTATGTTTGTTGGCTCTACCTAAATAATCACTGGGTTACACTGCACCCATGGGTGTGCCACCTAAAGTGCAGCCTATGTTTGTTGGCTCTACCTAAAGAATCACTGGGTTACACTGCACCCATGGGTGTGCCACCTAAAGTGAAGCCTATGTTTGTTAGCTCTACCTAAAGAATCACTGGCTTACACTGTACTCATGGACGTTTGCCTCGCACTCTCTTCAAAGACAAAATAGCTATAGTCTGTTTGGCCAAAAATCAAGCTTTGTTTCCCCTAAAAATTTGACACCATATTAGGGCCCTGAAAGACGTTAAAAGTTCCTCCATAATAGAAGGGTGTTTTGCTAGAGTTAACAAACATTTGGCTTCCATGAGTTTCAATATAAAGGTGCAAAAACTTATCAGCATAATTATAGCACACAAACATTGTCATCAAACTCCTGGCATGTAGCCTGAATAAGCCAAGCAAATATGAATAAAGCATATAACGAGAAATATTCGTCAAATGGTCTCGTTAAGTAAATTATACTTCACTTTGCGAAAGAAATTTATCGCTTGTATCCGTGTTACGCATCGAAAAAGTGAGGAGTCATCGCATGACATTAGGTAACAGAGGTAATACTCACGAGTTTCACGAATTCCAATTCCACGATTTTTCGCCGAGTAACAAATTTAAAACTTCAATTCTTACCTTACAGTGGTTGGTTCATTTACCTTACATTTGCCAACACTAATAAACATGAACAAAACGATGAAATCCGGCACTCTTCTTTCAGAAGTAGCAAGCCGCATGAAGTAAAATCCACCGATATGCGCTGCATTCTCACTACAAAAATAAAATACGACGAGGAAGAAAAAATGCCAGATCTTCGCCTCGGCAATGTATTCCAGCTACCACTGAAGCCGGCATATCTCCAGAAGGTGGACTCGAAGTAGGACAACCCTTGTGATTTTTTTCGGAGCCCCTTGCGCGCAAACTAATTTATTCTGGCGCGAAATGAAGATTAAGAAAATGTATCTGAAATCTAATACACGACAAGAAAATTTTTGCACTTTCAAGGAGCGCGACATATTAAATGGGATTAAGTCGGATTAGCTGCCCGTGGAGAAAACATCCCTGCGTGGGATGGTACTTCCAGTAAAAAGCCTCTGTGTCCTCTCATGCTTCAACCGAAAAATAAGTAGTTTCATCCCAGTTTTATACATAAGAATAGTTCTGGACAGTTTTTATCTGCTTATTTTCTATTCTGAGAAAGTCTCAACTTGAATCTGACGTTTGCTGTTTGGCAATCTCTCCAATATTCATGAAAAAAATGGGACCAGGGAAAAAAGTTTGGATAAACGAAAAGTCTGGATAATCAAGATCCAGATAACCAAGGTCTGACTGTATGGAATTTCTGTGCTCATTCATCAGACATCATGTAGCGGGGAAACCGTTTGTGGGTTTATGAAGTGTCAGCTGTTTTCTCTGGCTATTTGCAAAGAAGGCATGTTTAATAGACGTTAGGAAAAATAAAAATCAAATTAACATCAATGCAGGCAGTGTGTATGTTTAATGTATTTCTTTGCTTATTAATAAAACTGTTGTTGTCGTTGTTGTTGTTGTTGTTGTTGTAGAAAAAAGATTTTATTCGAAAAAGTGAAAACCTCTCTCTTAAGCAAAAGAATACAATCTTGCAAACAACCAAAATGTGTCCACCATGTTCTGTTTATTTAAGACTTCAGGTTTTCGCACAATATTGAACAAGAAAGTACCTTACATGTTTAAATACAACTTGCATTGTCATTCTTTTTGGTTTATTTACCAACAAAACCAAGCATTCAACGAAATATATTGAATCCGGCACCAATGAATTCACATTGACGATATTCCTAAATTATTAGAAGCATAATGGGGGTGCGAGATGAACGGGAAAGAAAATGCACGTTTCCAGCCCTTTACTGAATTCGTTGACAAAACTGAGTAGTTGAACTTTTAGAAGCTTTTATAGAGCGTAGGATGCATAATATCGAACAACCGGCGAACAAAGAAAAACAATCTTCGACGATCACACGAAAAAAACTTTGCAGGACTTTTGATTTTTGCTTTAATAATAAACTTACCTCTCTTTTCACCCCGTTTTCCGCCATCGCAGTGTTTTCTTTATCGTTAAAAGTTAAAAGCAAACATCAGGAAAACATCTTCGAAAACAGAAACTTTCTTACGGGAGGTTTTCCAAGACGGAAATCCGCTGCCTGCAATGCATCGCAGGAAGGAAGAGGAAGCCTGGGTCCCAAAGTTTACTGCGCGTGCACTCGCTTTCGCGGGATAAGTCACGTGATGTACACTCAAAAGCGAAAAAGTCCAATTGACAGGGATTGCATGACTTTTTATGAAAGCTTTCAATTTTAAGATTATCTCCTTTTCTTCTGAAAATTTTGTTATAAAGAGTTGAATTCGATTTGTTATGTCTGGTATTGCGATCGGCCGATTAACAGAGGAGAGAAAAGCTTGGCGAAAAGATCATCCTTTCGTAAGTGCTTACATAGTTGCCCTACTTCATGTGAAAAGCTTAATGTTCGTCGTTTCATTGATTTTCCTAAGACGATTTCGACAACTTTATATTTAAATTGAATTCTGTTGTTCTTATAAGGGATTTGTTGCCAAACCTGCAAAAAACGCCGATGGTACGTTAAATCTCATGAACTGGGAGTGTGGTAAGTCTTACTGGAATATGATCACTGCATTCATGATCACTGTTTTCAAAAAATCAAGGTTACTCTACAAAACTACCATCCTTGTAAATACTTGCTTTTTGTTTCGATAACGACACAAAACAGATATTTGTTTGCTTCGTGATAAATCAATATTTTCTTTTTATCTTTCCCACAGCGATTCCTGGAAAGAAATCGGTATGTACGATAATGTTTTTGAAGTGGAGTTAAATGAGAAGTAATTGTTAATCTTCCTGAGTCTCGTTCATATTAAACATTAGAGCGAAATTTTTTTCCGGTCCTAAAATATCAGGTGGATTCAAAATAATAAAAATAGTAATAAAAACTTTACCGGTCTCAGACGCAATCATTCTTCAATTTGTGATTGTACGTACTTACATGTATGCCTGTTCTTTGTAATTATACCTATGTTACATAAGGAAATTCTAGAAGAAAGATTGCGGAAAGTTGACAATTTTTTTTCCTGTTGCTAAATGATTTGAAAATATATTTTTTGCGTTATGACTTCTCACATGTCGTTTATTATTTGTTAGACTCCTTGGGAAGGTGGATGTTACACTCTGAGGATGGTTTTCAAGGATGATTACCCTTCAACACCTCCTAAATGTAGGAATTTTTATCTTTTGTTTTTATTCAAGGCGTGCTGGGGATATCTAACGATTAATTTAATTTTCAGACATTTCTTATTGTTTCACAGAAAAGCCTAAGGGAGAGGTACCTATGTTATTTACAAGGTCAAATTTTTTTCAAGCCCACTTTCCAGTGTCCTAGCCCCATTCTCATGCTATTTCCCGTCATGTCTTTATTCCTCCTTCAGAAAACAGTGACCCATATACTCAAGAAGATTGGCAAAGTTGGTGTAACAGACTGTTTTTACCTTTCCCTGTTTTCTTGTAAGATCATTGCAATCTTTCATCTTGACTGCTGGGGTGAATATCTTTGGAAAGGGAGGCATAAAAAATTAGGGAGAGTGTGTTAACTTCACCACAGCTCATTTTCAAGGAGCAATTGCCAGCCTCTGATTCATCATCAGGCAAAAATTATTTTATTGGCATTGACAGTGCATCTGGTTAGAGTGACAAGTTGGCAATTCCAAAACTAGCTTTTGCACATAATGAGAAAACATGTTTTTTAGACAGTGTCTCAAGGTTGATTTCCACTGACATGTTTTTGGCTATGCATGTTAATGCATGTCAATTTTAATCATGTAAGTAAAATTGAGGGAAGATAAAAAGTGCTGAGCTAAAACGAGAAGTTGAGCGAGGTTCAACTTTTACGCTTACGAGTGACCTTTCATGCATTGCCTCTATTTTATTTACAAATGTAAATTTTATGCACATACACACGTAAAAATTATGTGACACTGGAAATCAACACTGAGTGAAGAATTAGCGTTGCAAATGAACTGAACATGGCTTGTATGGCTATGTCGATATCCTGTACTTTGCAAGTTTATTTTTACACGTTGTTGTGACTATTTTTATTTTGGCCTGCTTCTGATCGTACGTTTCTATTTGGTTTTGTAAGTACTGTACACAGTAACAACATTGTTTTCAGGGGTCCGATAAAGTCTCACCTGGTAGTGTGGGGCAAGGAGATTTTCTTACTGAGCAAGTAACTTTAAAATCTCACTTGCCCAATGGTCAAGAGTCCAGGCAATTCATCCTCTAACCAGGCCTTCTGATAGGGTGCGAAAAAAAATCAGAAATTATGCGGCATTTTCAGGACAGATTGTGCGATAAGATAGGACTATTATGCGATAAATTATGCGATTTTTTCAGGGCTAATTAACATTGTTTTACCAGGTTTTAAATTATGAAAATCACATTAATGTTGTTTAACAGGCAATTGAATGTAAAAGAATAAGAAAACATCTATTTTAAAACAAAATAGTTAAGTTTGTCCAATTATCTTGACCCGGAATAGAAAACAAATAGTAAGAAAGAAAAAGGACACTTGTTTAATATTACATGATGCTGTTACACCACTGACCACACTGCTTGTCTCTGAATGAAAATGGTTGCCCAGATACCGCTATCAAAGGTTTGAGATGTCTTCCAAGGCTTTCTTTTGTGGTAAATCATTAGAATTTATTGTTTACTTTACTTGAATTTAGCATTTCTTTTACGAATTTATTATGTGATTTTCCTCAAATTGTGCAATCGGATGCGATTTGAGGCCAAAAAATGTGCAAAATCGCACCATCGCATAATATCAGAAGCCCTGTCTGACCAATGCTTCCTTTAAACAATGAGTTGGAATCTTGCTGATGCCAAAAATTGACAGAGCACACAAAAATTATTGTACACCCGAAATTTGAGAGGAAGTGCATTTAAGGGAGACATTTTATTGGCTACCATGTTGAAGGGCATACTGTTGCCCTCCAACATGATAGTGATGCTCAGATGTGCTGTAAATGTTACCACATCATCTTTTCAACATTTTCCTTGAAGTTTAAGTGCCAAATTTGTGTTCAGAAAGAGGTAATTCACATTTTGGTCACACTACCAACTAAGAACTTACTCATTTTAAGAAAGTGGTGCGGGTTTGAAAAACCAAATCACTATTATTTTGTTTAAGATATGACCCACTAATCATTTTTGGAAGGCAAAATCATACAACTTTTATTTTCATAAGAACTATGTCACATGACCTCTTAGTGCAAATGGCCTATTTACTTTTTATATTCAATGTACTCATTTAGGTGTGTATGAATACACAAAAACCAAGGGCCTTGATTCGAGAGAAGTTACATCATTGCCAAAATGCCAACATGTGATCAACCGTGACTCGATTTTGCTAATAACCCAATGCTGTTCGGTCTAGTTTGTGACTTTGAATGATTGATGTTGTCATATAACGTTGGTCAGAAGTAGCAATGGCTGTAGCAATGCTTAATTATTATCTCAATCTCTGATTTCTCGTTTTCTGTACATCATTCATATTTAAAGTTTTGTTGAAAATTTTATCCTGCCTGGTTCTTATTTTAATTTGGTTTTCAATTTCTGTATAGGTGGTCCCGCTCAAGTTTTAACTCTTTTGCTCTGCTTACAAAAACATTAAAACCTGCACGACTGATTACACTGAAAGATACAGAATACGCGCAAACATAGATCACAAGCAAATTCTTGCCTTGGTACGCCATAGACTTTGTAAGCAAGATGCTGTTGACACTTTCAAAACTCTTTAAAGTGTTAACTAATCACTTGCTGGATGGCAGGAGCTATTTATAACTTTCTGTATTTGGTGAGCATACTCTCTACTGGTTTGCTCACGGTATTTTCCATGAAATGTGAAAAATCTCCAGTTTATGTTTAATGAAGCTACTAAACTATAATCAGTCTTAACCACCTTTCATAAATGTTGGTGAGAGACTAGGTACAAAAAATCCTTTTTTAAATGCATATACTTGGCTTATGATATGTGCTTCATCGTTCACATGGCTGCAGAATCAGATGCACAACCACTCTTTGGCTCTCTTTGGTTGTTTTATGTAAAAATGGCTGGAACCGCTAACTCTTACAATCTAGAGATACCAGATGGAAAGAAAAGATTAAGCTTTTCAAAGAAAAAAATTCTTGAATGTAACTCCAAGTAGCAAAGTTGATTTTGTTGATGTATCAGCGTAAGAGGGAAGCTCCACAGCTGCCAAACGGCTCAAACCAAAAGAGAAACAAAGAGAAGATGCCAGTGGAAAATTCAGATATCATCATTTTGGATATCTTTGCATGGTCTATTTATATGTTACTGTTTTCAGATAATTTGTCATTTTAAATGCGTACTTTAGTTTGAAAAGGTTTTTCTGGACAAACAGGTTTTAATAATTCTAGTGACATGCGCAAGGCTGAGCATGTAATGTGACAAAACCAAAACGTGACCAAAATGGTGCTCCATCGATATCACCGCTCGAAATAAACCGCCTCCTCATCACAAGGCTCATTTGCATAGAATGAAAGTTTACACCACTCGACCGACCGACCAACCGACCAACCGACCAACATTGAGTGCCCCCTATAACCTAAGTTAACCAGTGGACCTTTATGAAAACACATCATAAAATTACATTCAGATTTTATGATATATTTTTGCTTATGGCATTATTTAAAGCTGTGGCTTCTTCTTTCTAGAAGAAAGTAGCCTACTTTTATGAGCAAAGTAGCTGACACGTTTCGTTGGCCGTAGGTGCTTATTGAAACCCCTGCTTACTTGATGCCTAAACCCCAGGTACAACTAAACCAAAAGGGCCGCTCATTAATATGGTAACTGTAAATCATGTAATTGACACTCCCTGTGAAATAAATGCCTATTGTCTACTAAACAGCCTCTCTACAATCTTTAGTTTGTATTATAGACCCGTTTCCAATACATATTACAGGTCAAATTTGTCTTCAGGCTAATTTTGATTTAACATAGGTTGATTCTCAATTTTCTTTGTTTCCTAACCCTACGAGACAAAGGAAATAAGGAATCAACCTAGGTTTTAAAAATTTAACCTGAAATCAAATTTGACCTGTAACATATACACCCCCTGTCTAATAGATGCCCCACCCCCCCAAGCCATGACAGTAACTCCAAAATAATAGGAATTAGCAAAAAGAGTAGAATCATTCAATTTATACAGTTTCGTGCTTGATTAACAAAAGTTTCGGCATTGCATCTTGTTCAATTTTGAGTTTAAAGTAAGTATAAGCCACCAATGACAACACAATGACCCTGAACAAGGATTTTGACATCCAAGATGACACCTGAAAGAGGGATATGGATCTTTGCAAATGTAGATGGCCTAGACATACAGTATCAGTTGATGGACTGGATGTTTCGCCGTTTATAAAATGTCTTGACATTTTTGTGGAGAGCATATTGCTGTGGTTTTGTAGAGGTTGTTAAATGACTCTCTTTTTCAAACGTCTCCTGTTTATTAAATTCCTTCTCTTGGAGCCCTTAAATTAAATGTAAAAGCTACAGGCATCTATTAGATCATATATGGTTTATGAACAATCTTATTACAAATAATTCAGAGGGTTTGCAAAGAATTTCTGAAAATACAGTGATGTACATGTATTTCCTTCCTGCTTGCTTCTTTGTTGTTATACCCCTTCATTCAGTCGATAGTAGGATTTGAGTCAGCTCAAACAGAGAAAATTAGGGGACAAAGAGTGTTTTTATCATTAGATTTTTCCTGTTGAAGACATGAGTCAGCAGGGTCATATTTCAGTACATAACTAGTCAAGCATGAAGTGTGCAAAAATTATGCAGATGCTTATCATATTTCTAACTGTGGTCATGTTTACTGGTGTTAATGTTTTCATTTGGTGATAGTGGGATTATCTTTAGCAGAGCATTCACATGGTGTGAAGAATAACTTTATTTGATCATTCACATTCATTTTACAAAGATGAAGTGATTTGGAGTGTGTATTTTGACACCTCAACTTTCCTCAGTAAAAAACATTTGTTGATCTTAAAGCATTACAAAGTAAATGTATTTCAAAGTTCTTTTTTTTAAAAAAAAACAAGACGCTACGGAGCGTACACTTTGGCGTCGTGGTTGTGGAACTAATTAATTGTAAATGCGGAGGAATAGTAAGAAATCAAATATGGTAAGAGTGAGGTGTTAATTTGTGAAATTATGGGATTTGTCAGGATATTCTGAAAAGAGCAACATCCAAGAGGCCTACTTGCCAAAAACTAGCATTTCGGGACAAATTGTCTCCGAGGTATTAGCCCTGTTATGCTCTGATGACTCCATACAAATCCTTTTAAAAAAACAATTCTCTATTTTTCTTAGTCACATCAGGCTTCAAAAACAGCGTAGCAGTCTCATGTACTGATTAAAGATATGTAAGGCATGGGTAAGGAGTCTATTACGTTGAGCATGGAATTGGCTAAAACTCAAAGTCACGAGTTCGAATGTTTTGAGGATAATTATTCACTGACTATCAGCACGCAGGGATGTCGGATTAACACAAGGAAGTTTAACACCAAAGGAACATAGCCTTTACAGAGCTTTAAAACACAGCATCCACCAACGCAAACTTGACTTGACCTTTGAGTAAAACTAAACAGCCTCTACCAATAATAACAAACTCTCACTTGAACTTCAGATATCTTACGGCTTCCACGAACTTGTAAACACAGAACCTGAAAATCGACCTTCGTCACACTTGACTAAACACAGCAGTCCAGCTCGTGGGAAAAAACTTAGATCGTCAAAAGAACTCGCTTGGAACTTGTATACCGTTTGACATAAGGTTCCAGAAATTTCTTAACAGGCGAATAGTAGTAGCTTTTCGACATATTTTATGATTTCAGTAACTGATGGAAATCTGCTGACTCATGCTGAAATGTAAACATGCCCTAATTAATTATTCATGTATAATCCAAAAGTGTAGAGAACGTTCGAGAAAGTCACGTAACGCATGAAAGCAATTTTACTACATAACACTCAACAAAGACAAAATCTCTTTGTGCAGCATTTTGTAACTTTAAATTCATCATAAAACAGTTTGAAAGGAGGGCTCACTCGTGAAATGTTTTTTAGCACTCGAAATATCCTCTATTTATTCCTCGAGTAATTAAAGACTAAACTCGAAGTGATCTCAAGATATCACGAAGTAGTCCGGTCTCATTTCGTGAAATAGTTGAAACAAGCCGAAAAGTCACGAACTTGCACGCCCAATCTTGTCCCGAGACTAGTGCATCATTTCATAACTATTTTTCATATCCCAAACTACCTTGGGTCGCAGTAGCGCAATCGGCTAATCCCCCAACTTAGAGTCTCCTCTGATCTGATGGGTCACACAGGTGAGTCGGTTCAAACCCCGGGAAAGCCAAAATAATAATTCTTTCTTCCTCGAAAAAGTTAAAGAATAAATCAAAGAAATCGAAGTGATCTCAAGATATCTCAAACTAATTTGGCTCTCACTTCGTCAAATAGCTGAATAGAACTGAAAACCTACAGACGTTGCTTGCCCAATCTTGTCAAAAAATTGCAACTTTGATACATTCCTGAGCCGCGAATCCTTTACTTCGCGCTCCGCCAAAGTTAAAAAAAAAGAAGACAACTGGATCCTACTTGCACAGCCAAACTGACATGTACAGAAAAAAAATTGTTATGGAAGCATGAGAATGGTGCCCTGGCTCAAACTCTGCAAAAGTGAAGGCTTCTTATAAGAAATTAAATTTAATGTATTTTAAATACTGGTTATGATATATACACGTAGTAAGACAATATTTATTGTTATATCATATAACAAACTGTTTCAGTGTGAAATGATTAGGAAATGAAGGCTTAATAAAAAGTGTATCTTTTACTTTTTCAGGTAAATTTGAACCTCCAATCTTTCACCCTAATGTATATCCATCAGGAACAGTATGTTTGTCTCTTCTGGATGAAGAAAAGGATTGGAGGCCAGCCGTCACTATTAAACAAGTAAGAAATCTGAAAGAGCGTGAGCAACCAAAGACAATGCCAGCGTAATGGCCTGGCCATAGCGAAAATGCTGTAGAAACCCAAAAGCCCCTGTGAAGTCATAAGTGAATCTCCAAAAATCACATACAAGAGACTGCTGACTAGCATTGTCTGGAGTTTAACTTAGTCTTAATTTCATTTATCCCAAGGCTGTGCTCTAAAAAAAACTAAGATTTTCTAGTCACCGGAGAGTGAAAGTTGGGCACCAGGGGCCACTAGGCTCCACTAGAGCACAGGCTTGTAGCCACATTTCAGATTAAGATTTTGTGTGCAGAAGTTTATCAGTAATTTTGTGATTCATTTTCTAGGTTTTATTGGGAATTCAAGACCTACTTAATGATCCTAACATTAAAGACCCTGCACAGGCAGAAGCTTATACTATATATTGGTAAGTAACACATGGTCAGAAAATATATATCATCTGGGCTGAGTTGTTCAAAGCTGGGTTAAGATAACCCAGGGTTAGTGCGAGATTTGAAAGCTTAGAAAGCATTTCAGTTTTAATTCTTTTTGACTTCAAGTTGATGATTGGAAGCTCTAAAAATAGCACAGAAAATTATCCAAGAAAATGCTTTTGAACACAAGAAAAAGAAACGCAGGTTAAATTTAACCCCAGTTTAAGTGCTAATTGGCCTTCGAACAACTCTGGAGTTTACAACTGGGTTGCCTGGTTCATTAGGTAAATTAAACTAAGAAATTTATGTGATTTTTCTGTCTGTATTCCTGACAAAATTTTGAAAATGGGAACTGGAGCTTTGAAATGAGCTGCCACTTTGAGTAAGGGGAAATTTTCTAATCCACCAGCTCCCTTGTTTCATTGCTTCACAAGAGAATTTGTTTTTAACAAGGAACATTTAAATACTAGAACTACCTTTTATGTCATAAAAATAATTCAAAGGTACGTGTAGTTCGAGTATTTAAATGTTCCTGTTTTAAGAACAAATTCTCTGGTGAAGCGAAGAAATAAGGTAGCTGGTGGATCAGAAAATTTCATATTAAATCAACACAGCACCTATACCTTGTAATACATTTTTAACAGAAAAAAACATAGTTTGTTGTTAGTAAATGTGACCCAGATGCCTTGTGTAGATGTTTGAATGTTGGTAGCACTATATAAAGTTCTATAATTTTACTGATTGTTTTTTTGTTACGTCTTTTTGCTTGCTTTGCTTGGCAAAATTACTATTTTTATTTATTATTCTTTGTTTTGCAGCCAAAATAGAGCAGAGTATGACAAAAGAGTCAAGTCCCAAGCACAAAAAATGGCTCCCAAATGAAAAAGGATTAGCTGCGGTAAACCTTTGCTATGAACAAAGAACTTTACTAAAAACAAGCAGAAGGACTAAATGCCTTATTCATCTTCTCCATGGGACATTCTACATCAAAAGGGGAAAAGGGAGATGTTATAAGATTATTTGTCTCTACTGGTTGTCAGTTTTGTTCATAAAGCAAGAGAACGTCATGTTGCAAATAATCCTCTTCTGAGGGTGTTGGTCCATTTTCGTGCTGTACTGTGAGATTTCCTTATATTTTACAAGCTTCTTCTCTTTCTTTGCAACACTTTGTACTCAAGAGACATGGATTTTCAGTGATTTCTCAGTGGTCAAAACCGCTCAAGTGCACAGGTTTTGTTAAAGAAAGATGATAATAATATTATTATTGACTGTCTTACAGCTCTTTGCATTATAAGGCTGATTAAAGCATCTTAATGGATATGTAGTTCTTTCTTATTAACTCTTTACAGTGGAACCTTGATTTAAAGAATCTCTACACAATGGAAGTCTTCAGTATAAGGAATGCTATTCCTAGCCCCAGTAATAGTAAAGTATAAAAAAACAGAACCTCGACATAACAAAACCTCATTATAGCAAACATATTTTGTCAGTCCCTTGGCCCTTTGTTATATCAAAGTTCCACTGTATCTTGAAATCTGGTTTTGATTGTTTCATTCGTGGCATGGTAGGGCATAAATGTACTTGACGTTTCACAGAAATCATGATTATTTTAATGTGTTGCTGTAAGTATTAGACAGCAAAGCTGTTCATAAAATAGTTTAGTTGAACCTCAATTATCTGGCCCCTGATTATAGGAACCAGAATTGTTGTTACCTTGATTTTTTTCATGAATAATGATGCATTCCCACTTGCCAGACGAGAGGTAACAATTTTGTTTTGTTTGATAAATTGCCTTTGAAACGGACTTCTGTACTAAACAAGTGCTTTAACCTGAATGCTGAAACTGAGCTATTTGCTATTCCACAGATGACAGTGCATTTTTGCTATTGTTGTGGGTAATCGTCCTTTGAAATGATAGAAGTAGCAACAAGGAAGACCACATCAATGTTCATGTAATTTTTCGATGATCAGAAATCTTGATTGTTTGGATGATTGAGGTTCTAGTGTAATATACCTGGCAGATCTGATCAGGGAGGGGGGGGGGGGGCATGAGATGATAGTGACTACTAATGCCAGAATTCCCTTTTCTCTATCCAATCTACATATAACATAGCCTGTGAAAAGGCTCCCATGTATAGCGGATGAATAAGAAAATCGGTGAGCAAAGCAAGTTGAGTGTAACCTGGGGAAGCAAAAAATGGTGGGGGAGCCTGTAGACTTTATTTTGTTTGCACCCATCCATATTACCATATTCTTGTATCATTACCTGATTGGTCAGATCATTGAGTGTTTACAATTAAGTGATGAAAAATATTTGCATGCCTGCAAATGTTATTGAAACTGATGCACTCAAGAATTAAAAACTTCATAATTTGACAGGTGTAATAACCTTATTGACATGTCATTGACAGACACTGTATGTGTTACAGGATAATTACAAGTGGGCGGATGGGGAACGTCAAAACCAAGTCCACAGGCTCCCCCACCCTTTTTTCTTCCCTCAGGCCCTGCTCCAACTAGGGAGCCTGTCCACAGGCTACATAATATAACATTTTATCTTTTTGGAACCTTCCTTATAGACTGGAAAAAGAACAATTTTGTAAGCAGATTATGTTTAGTGTAATTGTTTTTTTTTTCAAGCTTGAAAGTGCATTAAGGGTAGGTCGAGATTCCACTGTTATTTTTTTTGGTTCTACACGTATTTTTTTGGTTCAGCGTAAGATTATCATGTTTGTATGACCCATAACTTTCCAGATTGTCTTCCAACTTTCCAACTGCCTAATGCCTTTAATGTTTATGCAGTGATTGTTGCTGGAAGCATAGCTGAAATATTTAACAAATTATTGTTATTTTCATTTTGGCTTTGTCCAAATGAAAAGCTGTTTTCTATTATTTCAGCCATGCATGATAGATAAAATAATTATTATAATGTATTATAATATTGCATGTATGATTGGTCGTCTAGCTAAGGCTTCTCACTTAACAAAAGGTATTGAATTTATTTAACTAGAAAAGTGGTAATATCTCTCACTCGTCATTAGACGTACAACAGACTTCTCCCGCATTCCACTTCAGAGAGCAAACGTAAGAAAACGAGCTCAAGTTGGGATAAACAATTTCGTACCAATTACTGTATAAAGTCAGCCCAAGCCTTGAGTTGGTTTCCTTTGTTCACAGGAATGTAGGGAAGGTCTATTAACGCTTTTTGTCTTTTGCTGGTTTGGTATCAAATAACATTTAAAGTTATTAACAATGACATCTCTGCCTCGTGTACTGGTTTATTTAAAAACACAATACCACATGGAAAGTGTTTTGGTGTTTTGTACGGTATTTATGTTGTATTAATTTCTTGTCCCAGGTAATTTTTCTTGTTCTTTTGTTAGTCTCGCTGGCGTAAGCAGCGAGGCTCTTAATTTGCAACGCGTTTTTCTTCGTATTTGTGACACAAAAGGGGGTCATTGTGCCAGGTGTTTCCAGCGGAGACCGTGGAAACTGGGAATAAGAATCATTACGTGATCGAAGCCACGCATGTTTTGCGAAGAAAGCTTAGGAAAGATCAAATTTAGTGCTTTTCCGAAACGTATCGGTCCACGAATTATATCGCTTGAAAGCGTCGATTGGAACAAGTGAACACATTAAGTGAACACTACCAGGATGGGCTCCAGACACTACCGAGTGGTGGAAAAAAAATAAGAAACTTAATTAGCAAAACTGCGATTGTCGGGAGTGCTGACCATTTGCACGGAAATTTCGGTGGATTTCCTTCAAATGGTACTGGTATTTTTTTGGCACCGAAAACAGGAACGGGATTGAGTTGTACCATTTACAAAATACCGGTAAAGTTTTCGCTTTCTCTGGACATCAAGCCTGGCACCAGTAATCCAAATAAATAGTACAGAAAATTTCGGTTGTTTCGGTAAAAACGGGAAAAAGGTAATACCTCGAAAGGTATTCCTTTTTTTCCCGAAAATTTCCACCGGGGTGAACCGCTCCATTTGAATTCTCCCCAAATTTCCGGGTTTTCCATACAAATGGTAAGCGCGTCAGGTGTTGTAAACTTTCAGTGTATGCAAATTAGTCTTGCGATGAGCATGCGGTTTATTTTCGGCGATGATTGAAATGACGTGCCATGTAAATCACTTTTTTGATCTCTGATCTCTGGTTATTTCTCTGGAATCGTAGCCTGCAAACGGCAGACGTTTCTCCTCGCTCTTCGCCGCTGAGGGACGTTTCGCGAGGAGGAACGTCTGCGACTCAGCGACAGAAATTCCATACTGATGACGTAAATCAATGTTTACATAATAAATCCGGTAGTCATGGGGTTTCAAATGCAAATTTGTTCAATTTTACATTTCTCCTTGTCGATTTTGGTAAATTGTTGTGTTCATCTGCGAATGAGCTCCAGCTAAACTCAAATGCTTCTTCTAGAGAAGACTATATTCCACAAATATTGGCTGTTTTGTTAGAGATTCATCGCGTTTACATGTGACCTTTGTGGCCTTTTAATATTAAAATATTGTTTTTTGTCTGTCATTTGTAAACAATGGCTAAAACAATGAAATTACTCCGTCGACCAATTAGCGCTTCTTACCGGATTCAGGACAGATTTTACGTCATCAGTATGGAATTTCTGTCGATGAGTCGCAGACGTTCCTCCTCGCGAAACGTCCCTCAGCGGCGATGAGCGAGGAGAAACGTTTGCCGTTCGTAGGCTACTAAAATCGAGGCCCTTGAATCTTCGTGTATTTAGCCTGCGACCGCAGACGTATTTCCGGTCGTCGCTAACACGCGATAAAAAGTATCAACGTCGATAAAATAGGAAGTAAAAAACCTTTAGCGAGTAAATCCTGTTTCGTGTAGAAGTAATCGCCTGCCTATTTCTCGATCTAATCTCCAAGCAAGGGAACCTTACCACCGCTGTGAGAGCGTTCTTGTTTTCACTTCATTAGCATACATTACCATACCCAAAAACAAAAGAAAAACAAAAATTACCTGAGATAAAAAAGTAACTACAGCATTTACGCACGAGTTGTTGACGTAGAAATAAAATCGAATGAGTGAGATTTCTGATGCAAAAACAACGAGTGCCCGCACTTTCCATGAAGTACTCCATATACACCAATCTTAAATTTTAGTGCGTAAATCACCCGGGCCTGGTGTAGTCCGGGGGGGGAGGGGGGGTACTCCCGCGAATTTTGGATAGGGGTGTGCCGCGAAGGTTCGTGAACCCTAATCCTATTTACGGACTAAGAAAGCGAAAACTGATACCCTTTTTAAGGCCGAAAGCGGAAAAATGACACCCTATTCAAGGAAAAAAAAAAATTATTAATGGCATGAAAAGGAAAACTTTATTTCCCCTTTGTAACATTGGATGTATAGCATCAAGCATAAAATACCAGAAAAGGCCTAGTTTAAAAAAAAAAAATGTTCGTTTAGGTGGGCGTTTTCACACTCCAGTATTAGATAATACAATTACGCTACCCTATCTAAGGACCACACCAGGGACACAGAAATAAAAGGGTCAGAAAAGATACCCTATTTAAGGACCGAGAATCTCAAAAACCATACCCTATTCCGCGGCACGTACCTATATAGCCCATATATGGGAGTACCCCCCCCCCCCGGGGGTGTAGTACACCCGGTTAAGTCAAAAACCGTTTATTCACGTCCGTTACACACTGTACTCTTAAACCGAAAAGAACTAACCGAATAAATTAAACAAAGGCTATATGTATACATGTAAATTCTGTCAGGTCCCGAGTGTATTACATCACTTGCATTGTTACTCGTGCATCACTACACACTACATTCCCCTTTCCTAAATGTTCAACAAATCAAAGTCTTGGAATAGCCCCTATGCATGATTACGTCAGACGAGTAAATTTCACCAACAAGCCTCGTTTGTGAACAAAATTTTTTGCATTTGCACTTTTTGTGCGTGGGTATTCTTTTCAACTCTACTGCCTTGGGAATTCATTTCTGTGAAACTTCGCTTATTTTTAATTTCAAAACGAGGCTTGGTGGTGAAATTTGCTTGTGTGACGTAAACATGCATAAGGGCTATTAACCTAGACACACGATAAAAAAAAAAAAGAAAAAAGAAAAAGAAATTCGAGACATCCAGTTCAAGCACTTATATGGCTGTATAACGCACAGGCGGCCTTACAGTCCTGGTTGACCTCCGAATGGGCCTTCCCGCACAGGTATCTTTTCGGGGAAATGCGTACCATAAATCCTCTATTAAACCCCCGGGGGGCTTATATATTTCAAGCCCATTTGAGGAGGGGGGGGGGGCTTATTTGAGAGAAGGGGCTTATTTAATTTAGAAATGACGATGGTATCAGTTCTCCGCAAAGAACTAAAATACAAAGTGGAAAAGCTTAAGTATAAGAAGTTTTATGTCATGCAGCCGAGGATCAGAATCAAATCCGGACTTCCAGTTGGTAAATAAACTATTCCGGATCAGTGCTGCACACGGAGTTGATTAATGCAATCTATCATTTATTAGTGAAGAGTAATTAGGGGTGGGGAGGTGGGGTCTAATAGAGAGGCGGGTTATTAACTTTCTTCCCTTCAAAACAGGAGGCTTATTAGAGGGAGGGGGCTTATTTGAGAAGGGGGACTTAATAGAGGATTTACGGTAGATTGTACTCGACAATTTTCAGTTACTTCAGACGTTCCTGGAATTTCACTTGGCACCGATACGTCTGTCGTCTCT